TAATAAAATAAAAATATAAATAGCGAATAAAATAGGGGACAGTACAATTTATGATCCTTATAGTCTCAGCACGCATACAGATACTGCTTGTCGTCGTTTTTCTCTATCTATGCGAATTATGTCAATCATTTGTTTGAGTTTTTCCTTAGGCACGCACGTACGTATTATTTGGGCTTACAATAGAACGCCGAGTTTAAATTTGTTCCAGTGACAGGTTGATGGCAGAATTATTGTGATATTTCGCAATTTTATAGGATCATATAGGATCTAATAGGGAACCTTTTATTCAATTTGCTTTTGTGCGCTCTTTTATGCAAAAAAATATATATTTACCAATTAAAGTGTTTTGATAATCAATTTCTGAGTTTTTATTTAAAAAAGTTATTTTATATAAAAAATATACCGTACCAATTAAAATTTTTTAATCATCAATTTCTATTAAGCTTTTATTAAAAAAATTCTTCCGGATTATTTTCTGCTATTTAATTTAATAATCTTGATTAAGAGAATTATACGTATATGAATTTATATGAAATTATCATATCCTCGCAAGATAGTCGAAAATATTGCAACAATTTGCGACCAATCCCGCAAAATTCTTTGTAATGTTGTTATATAGAAAATTCTTTGTATTCCACGCATTTGTATAGAACTTGCTAGCAACGAAATGCGATTCCGAGAGAGGCTCTTTTGGCTTTTTAAACTGCATAGCTCGCTAAAGTGTTTAACGATCGGGACATTGGGGTCAAACGCGATGTATTGTAGTTACAAAGTCGATATTTTAATCTCCGCGACTCGATCACCACCGTGACGCCGTCAGATTGTATCATATTTGGGATAAAAGATGTGAAGGAGAGAAAGGAAAATGAAGGAGAGAAAAGCACCACTGGAAAACGTATAAAGGGTGTGGAAAACAAGCGGTCAGGGATGCAAGAGCAACTCGAAGATAACTGTAAAAAGAAGGGGCAAAGGGATGGGCGATTCAACCGCAACCTGCCGAAGGGTATCACGGATAGATAGTAAGATTTATGACGTGAGAAGAGAAGAGAGGAAGTTTTCTCATGTGAGAAAGAGAGAAACGCGAGATTACATCGTGGAATAACGCCGTTGTTCGAAGAGATCCGGGCGAAATCTAATATCCAAACAGTGTTGTATTTGCAATCTGAAAGAGATTTACCTTGTATCAAAATCATGATTTTCGCAAGAGCCACATTTATCCGGAAATACCATCAATTTTAACCATCGATTGCACTATCGATTTAATCGTTTCCGAGAGAGTCTCTCAAATTGCGAGTATAAAAGGATAAAACTGTTTTCATAACACAAAGGAGTCGAGAATACGAAATAAAATATAAAAGAAAGAAAGTACGCGTGGTATACGGCTCAAAAATTCGCAACAACAATTCCCTTGGGGCGAATAAAAAAAAAGACAAATAGCGTACTAACTGCGAATACAACATGACACGACTGCCAAGATAAAAGCAGCGAGAAAAACGAATATATAGCCGCGAACAAATGCAACCTTACAAAAACAAATAATAGCAATCGAATGTATCCGCTGCAGGCAATATCGAATTGCAAAGTGCAAGAGAGAGTCGTTGAAGATTCGCGAATAGTAGCTGTTTTCACGAAGGTTCGACTGTTAAACCGCGAAAACGTCGGCAGTAAATGTTGCGACTATACGCACAAGTCTTTTTATCGGCGATATCGATGGAACAATATCGTATATACGTATATTTGGGAATTTTCAGACTCGTAATACCAATGTTGCAAAACTACGAACAATCTAATCGTTTGTCGTTTCAAAAGTGTTATAAAAAAATTCAAGCTTTAAAATATATATCGTAAATTATAGTAAGAAATATGTAAATGTGCGTTGACGTGTTCCGATGAAAGATTCAAATCTTCATGTGGATAACTTTTGAAATAAAAACGAGAATAATAAAATAAAAAACGTATTCCGAGAGAGGGAGAAAATTTAACACCGGTAAAGTGCATTTTCTAAAAAAATTTAAGAGATTTCTCAGTTTGCATTAGCATGCTAATGAACGCGTTAATCGTGTAATATTCTTTGACTCTTATCGAAAAGGCGATGTTACTACGAGGTAAAGGGAATGATTTACTTTTCGTATAATCCTTTGATGTAAAGGTCTGAAGTTTAGAATAAGAGAAAAAGCCAACAGACGTCCCTAACATTGAGATATGCAAATTAATGTCGTAAATCTATACAGCTGTTTCATATGAGAAATTCAAAAGCGTATACAATATGCACATTTTATTAGCAATACTGATACTCGTTATTTTCGTAGGGCAAATAAAAATATTGATTTCACCGATTTGAAATATATGAGAAAATATATGTTTAAACTAGCTGCTTTCAGTAAAGCAATTCAGACTTTGCGATCGATGATAGAACCAATATAGTCACAATTAAATTAATTATAACAAGTAAGCGTAATTAATTAACAATTATAATTAATATAACTATCATTAATTAGTTTCGCTAATTAAATTGATAAATTTGGAGAATTGTCAATGCACATTTCTAAGAGAATGGTACGACATAAACAAGCCTTAACATCAATTAATCGGAACAATCGAGTGGTCACTGAACTAAACGATTCACTAATTGCTGTAACGATGGGCCAATTGCAATGTCAGTCGATAACGATGCATTAGAGATATGTATAACCAAAATAGTCCTCCGAAATTCTGATGAGAATGGTAATAAGCAACATTACTTGAACCTACTTCACCTCGACGTGAGATTCTTTTTCAACCTACCATGTCCCATTTTCTTCACAGGGCGGCATTTTCTCCCCTGACTTTCGTCGGAAACGGAACCACTTTGATGATTTCCACCGAGGAAAAGTGACAAATATCTGCCTATCTGTTAGTTTTGCGTCGCACTGCAAAAATATACTTCGTCATTTTAACTCGCATTACATGTATAAATATATAATAGCATAGTTATATCTGTGATATAGCAAAAGAGCTGATTGCTATACCGATTCTCTGTAGGAAAATTTTTCTACATGCAGATGTATTTTTTTTTATAAAATTCGTATATATAATAACTAATAAGTTAAACTAAATTATATAGAGATTATACATATTTTTTATGTCTTCATATATTATGGAATTTTATAAATTATATACATATGTATGAAATATAGGTATGTATATGTATGAGACATATGTAAGAGATATATCGTATGTATAGAAAAAATGGATCGCCAGGCTATTGTGATATAAGAATATAGGCTAAAATTGACGTATTCCTAAAAAAATAAATTGAAATTGTAAAATAATATTTTTTACTTAAGAAAGTTTGTTTTTAAGAAAATCAACTTTTATAAGATGGAGAAATATTGATTATATTTTTCCTGTTTTTTTAGGCTTCTCTATAATTCTCAAAGATCTCAATATCGTGAAATTCATCCTGTGAAAGTGAGTGTTATCAAAATATAAAATATAAAACGTCAAAAATAATCTCTTAAGAAATGTGTTTTAACGATTACTAAGAAAATAATTTTAATTAATCAAAAATGTCATTTATTTATTTAAAATAAATATTTCTGAAATTTTATATAATTTTTCATTTAGTTTAACTGAAATATTTTTTATTACTTTGCACAAAATCAAGTGAGTTTTTTCTTATATCTCTTACGTCAGGACGTTATATAATCTTTGTATGCCTATACATATATATGTTATCTAAATTTGATAAAAAGGAGATATATTAATTTTACAAAATTTTAAAAGTCAAATTTTTCAAAATCAAATTTTTATACGAAAAATTTTATTTTCATTTTTACAATTTATCCTCTCTTTAGATTCTTCTGTTTCAAATCAGAGTGCCAGAGTGAGAAAATAAAATTCTACTAAAACTCTAATTTGCAACATACAGACGTTGTCTCTCTGAATTATACGCAGAAAAGCTGTATAGTTTAATGTTTAGGGTAAGCCTCTTTGCCTCTACAAAGGAACAAAGGGATACTCTAGTAGATATCGAACGAACAAGGAGGAGATTGCAAACGTAGTTCGACGACGTATTCTAAGCTGCTGCTCTATACTTGCAATAACTTCTCATTAATGTAACTTAGACAAGCCATGTGAAACAAGCTGGCGATGCTCGTACGAGTTAGTAATATCGTGCGCAACAATATATTGCTTCCAATAGCACGTATTTCTGCATTGTCTTGCACGCTAAATACCAGAGTACCCCTTCTAGTAAATCTCCTACAGTTTCCAAGCTTCCTCGTGTGTCGAAGAAGGGACAATTTTGCATAAACAATCCTTGTCCGAATTTGACGAATTTCGACAATGCTCCTATCATTGCTTCAATAAATCTGTCGCAGCATTGAAGATGACATTGTTGTTGAATGTAGCAGAATGAGCGCTTATACAGCGAAATGTTCATCCAAAGAGAGCAATTCTCTGATGCAACATCAATCCCAATTCTATTTTGAGAAGAGTCTGGACGATTCGATTCGCGTCTGCTTGCTTCGATTTCGTACAAATTGTGTTACTAGAATGGACATACGTGTGTACAATAAATAATAGGGAGGAATGATTGATCCCTCGTCTGTAGTCCCTTCGTATCTGTATTTATCTCGGTTTTTTTTCTCAATTGAAAGGTCAACATTCTTGTCAAAACGGTTCTGTTTAGGTAATAATGAGGATGAAAGAAAAAAATAATATCGTATCGTTTTTTTCTCCCCAAAGCCACCATGTGATTGCAAGAAATTTAGGAAGAAGTTGTAATAACAAACTCGATATGAGAAGATATCGATTTCTGTCGCGATTATTCCAAACATATTTCAAAGAAACAGAAATTAATAAAAGTTACCGGTATAAACCATGCAATTAAATTTTTCTTTCTTGCCGTTGCAAATATTTTATATTACATAATGTTCCGCTAATGAATTGAAAAATAAATGAGCAACAGCTTGCGTAATTACAGACTGAATTGATTACCCTGTTTATTTGTTGCGCAGGTGTTTGACAAACACAATCGTGGATATATCACTGCGTCGGACCTTAGAGCGGTATTGCAATGTTTGGGAGAAGATCTTTCCGAGGAGGAAAGTAAGTATCAACTATTAATGTATTCATTGATGGTTCTATTGCAATGAACGTGACGCGCTTACGTGGGTATAACTTGCCGTCTAAAATACCTCTCTCTCTCTAAAATACGTTTGATAAGAGAAACTTTGGCAATAAAAGCCATAAGGTAGACCATTTCCTAAATTGGCACACCTAAAATCGATTGATTCTCGGAAAATGTGTTTCATGATATAAAGTTGGGAATTTACTATTCGAATCAATTTCTATTCAATTAATTTAATATTATTTTATAAAAAATTTTTATTTGTTATTAACGTTATTATATTAACTTGATATATACTGATATTACATAGAAATGATTTTATTCATGACAAAGTAACATAAATCTGCAAATATAATTTTATAAGCAAACAAAATCCGATTTTGCAATTTGGCAAAAGTAATTAAATTTCAATGATTTCTCGATAATACTTTATTTTAAAATATAAACAAGCTTATTAATTAAATAACTAGAATTGATGGTACATTTTCAAACCTGACTTTGCTGAAAATAAATCGGATTGCAATTTGGTCCAATCAAATAAAACCGTGCTGTATATATTGCTTCTTGCGTAATATTTAACAGAATTTCCACGAATGTAGCATTTCTCCAATTCGCTCTTCAGTTATTATCTTTGCTCTGAAATATTATTTGCACACTTGCCCTTGTTATTTCACGGAGTCACAAAACTTGAATTTCCTAATTCCGCTTGTTGACACACGCCTATCGCAAATCCTAAAGATCGCGTCTTTATCGCGCTCCACGATTATTTTACCGTGAAAATGTCAGCTTTTTCGCTTGCGCTCGCGCCAATCAAGTGTTTGCACAAATAAAGCAAGCAATGAACTCAACTAAATCACTCGTGTCATCGTAAATACACCCTATCGCGCCACAATATCGATTATCGTGCGGCTATTGCCGTAGAATTACGTGGATCATCTCCAAGACATATTTCCAATTAACTATACTGATAATTCAATTTCCACGAATTTCACGCGTATTTCACAGCGTATATTCAAGGGGATAAATTTATATAGTTTTCGGAAAATATTACAAAATATTCTGTTAATTAATATACGTACAAATTTGCTTCCATAAGAGAGATCTATACATTATGTAATTAGATGATTCTATATTATAGATGTTCTCCGAAATACATTGCCATGTATTCATTAATCCGGACCGCAACTAGTTACGAATCCGCAACGTGTTTCCTCTCGAAACTACACCGGGTATTAATCGCGATTACGATAATCGTCTTGATTGAATCCTCCAATGTCTTGGAAATGCACGAGAGTCGCGATATATTCTCGACACGTATCTCTATCTATCGAAAGCAAGCGATGCTTTTCACTTGACAAGAAATGACATTTTGATCCGTAAACATGTACAAATAATTTATATCACCTAATGGCGATTAAAAATAGATCGTAGAGCATTTTAGAAAAGTCACGTTTCACGCACACGTTTCTTCCCGGGTAAAATTTCTTCCGAGCAGATTTTAATTGCTCCGATGTAATTTCTCTGACACGGTGAAGCGCACGTAAAAGCGTATATATTTAAAAGAACGTTCAACAAAAAATAATTGACCCTCTGTGAAGAAAACGCACTCTTGCGCGAGCGGTTAATTATACTTACCTATAATTACGTTCCTGTAAGAATGAACGAGGAGCAAGGAATCGTGGATCAAGAAAAATGCTATCAACCTAACTGTTGTTCGAACATGATTTGATAATTATTAATATAGGTCGCGTTGCAAAAAATATGTTGGCATGATTACAAAGGTAAGACGAGAACGATAGAGACTCGGCTCCTCGGAAAAATGTGGTTCTTTTTCTGGACCGAAAACGTAAGTAGAATATGTTTATCGCGATCCGGGAAATCAGTTTGATAATCTCGCACGACCGACGATCAACACAAGTTTCTTGATTGGCCGCAATCAATTTAAACTAAATCGCGCAAAGTTCAGGACAGTCGCCACAATTGGCAGAATTATAGTTTGCAAACTATTGTAACATTGCTACGTTATATATGTTATACATTGCAACATTATATTAAATTATGTATTGTTGTTTCCATCGAGTTTTATGATTGAGCATTAGCTTACGCAATATGAGACACGTGGCTCGAAACAACTAAGAGATCGTTCCTTGAACCATTAATTAGTACATTATCGCATTAAAGAAGCTGATAAATGAAGATAAATTTTGAATTAAAAATATGAAAGATCTTCAAAGTACCACATATCTATTTTAGACGATATGTGTGTGATCGAGGTAGGAAGTTTGATTAGTCTGAATAATAATAAAATAGAAGATGTTTAATAAGAATAAATTTTTTGTATTATTATTAAAAATTAATTTTGGAAATTTCAGAAAGGCATTTCAAGAAAAGTCCTCGAATGCCAGCGTTGTACCATAACGATCGTAATGCCGTCTTCATTCCTTTTCGTAGCAATAAATTCTGCTTGGAAATAATGCGGGTATATATCGGCAATATCTTTCTTTTGGTATCGGTGACGGCACTCGTGATACGAATTAATTCTCATTGCTGAACGCGTCAATGATATATTAATTAAATTACTACAAGAAAATATATATGTGGATTTTTGTGCGAGAGAAGCTGACAGGAATGCTCTCTTGAATTCGCATCGAACTTTATCACCCCTAAAATATATTTTTTTTTTCAATTTTTGCAATCGACGATAATATAAAAATACGCGGAAATTCGCTCGATTATGCACCTCGGAATAAATATTCGTAAGTTTCTTCCTCCAACAACGATTCTCATTCAGTGGTTCAGTAATTCTGAAAAAAAAGTCTGCGCGATATAAGAGGCTTTCTCGTTTTGCTTCCAGTTGAAGACATGATTAAAGAAGTGGATGTGGATGGAGACGGCCGCATTGATTTCTATGGTAAGATTTCTTTTGCATTATATTACAGTTTCTCTTGTAAAGAAAATACGGTGATAAATGTAGCAGTAAAACGGAGATTTCAATTTTTATTCTCAAGCATGATCTATCCGTAAGATGATCGATGGACTTGTATATCTAAAATAGAAAGAAACTGTAATTCTTGGGAAGAGAGTATCTATATAAACGAGTAATAGTTATTAAAAACTATAAATATAAGAAAAATAAATAAAAGAAAAAAATACATCTTTTTTTTCTTTTCTTTATTATAAAAATAGATCGACGCAACGAAAAATTTTCTTATTTTAATATTTAATAATAAATCTATTTCATAATATTTTTCAGAATTCGTTCACGCTCTCGGCGAGCCGGGAATCGATGAAGACGAAGAAGACGAAGAAGAAGAGCTGCAATCTCCGCTCTTCTAAGATCACGTTTATCCTCATCTCTTTGTTAGATAAGCCAGATCAGGTAAAAACGATGTGCAATCTCTCGACTTGCACAAAATATTCCTTCTCTCACGGTTTGCAATTCGAATCGCGTGCAATTGCGCCTCACAAACGAAACGCGGCTCAACTTTGACTTCGCAAACCCGTTTACGTTTTATTAGTTCTCACCCTTCTTCTCCAATTTCGAATCAAATTTTAACGCTGGAACGCGAAAGTCTCGCTAAGCGCATCGTGAATAGGTAAAATATCTGCACTGAACTCACATTATCTGCAAATGATCGCGAGTGCAGCAGCACAAATTTGCATTTTTGATGTATTATATATTAAATGCGTCAGATACAAATTGAGCTTCCCTCGAGCGGGGGATTCTTGATAAATCACGAGTGTCACCTACCTTATTTGACTACTAGTCATTATAAGCCGTCTGCTGATAAATGAGCGCATTATGAATATTGTATAAATTATATAATTCCAAAAATATTATAATAAAATTTAAAAAAATGACACGTTATATTTAAAAAGATTAAAAGCTTTATTTGAGAAAATAGGTTAATTTAAAAACGTTAAGTTGAATAAAAATTCCGATTGCAACGTAAATTGAATTGAATGAATACAGAAATAAAATAATGAGATTAGGAGAAGCGTTTCTTGGCACGTTTAACGAGTCGCTGATAACTACCAAGGTAATTATGAGGTAGTTGATAACGAATCTCTTTCTCAGTGCGATTTCGCTATCCTGGACAACGAGATAAGCGGTTCTGGCAACGTGCCATAAATTTAATTAAAACGATGGATAAAAAAATCATCAGCGGTCGGCTATGGTGACTTTCATCTCGCAAAAAAAAAAAAAAAAAAAAGCGGAAGTTATTCGAAAAGTGCAGCTCGTGTCATCCCAATGAATGAGTTGGGTATGAGATATCTCTCGCGACACGAAAAGCGAGCATTAAGTGCGAGAGATGTTTAAAATCTAGTTGAGATAAATAATTCATTTCGCACGTATTTTCGATCCTATTGCTTCGATGATATATCAAAGAGCGGCAAACGTTTTCTCTTGCCGGCTCTATCTTTTTCCGAGTCCTCTCCGACGCCGAGTCCTCCTCTCGGCGACTTTAAGATATAAGGTCGACTAGATCGTAATGAATTCCGTCTTGTATGTGGACTTTTTCTCGATTTTACTCTCGCGTCTAACACTAGATAATGTTATATTCCATTTAAAATAATCTTAAGAGAGACAGAAAAACGCACCGCACACTTCTCAAGATCGGATCGCGCCGATGCGATCCCCGAGCGAAGGGAAAGAGGAGGCCAAAAGGAAGATCGCGTCGCTCGATCAATCCCGCTGATTTGCATAATCGTATCAAATCGATGGACCTTCCACGATCCCTCTCGGAAATGATGGTCGCCTAAAATCAATCGGCGTCCAAGCCGGACGAGCGAACGAATTCTTGTGTCGATCTTCGCTCGCTTTGCTCTCTTCGGGCCTCGTATTATGTACCTTAAACGACTATATCACTGTTAACGCCAATAACAAAGCCGCACGCTGTTTAAAATATTTTAAAGGATTTAATAAATCGCTAAAAAACATTTTGTCGTTGAATTCATTTTTCGTTCCTTTTAACCCATTTCCCGAAGCCCTCAGGATTTAAATTCTTATCAATTTGTATCTTCCTTTTAGTGACTATATATGTTTTTATATTTTTGAGAATTTAATTTTTTCCGAGTTAATTGTCAGATTTAAAATTATAGGCATTTCTAGAATTGCGATTCTTCGAATTTTAATTTTAAACTTGTGCCACTCTGCTGATTATATTCTGATACTTTCCTATTTTCTGAGAATTAAATTTTTCCAGTTTAGATTACTAGATTTAAAATTCTAAAAATTCCTGCAATTGCACGATTCTCTTAGGAATCTTAATTTGTGCCTCTTCACTGATTATATTCTGATATTTTTCCAATTTTCGAGAGTTAAATCTCTCCGATCCACACTAACAGATGTAAAATTCAAAGCATTCCTGAAATCGCGATTCTTCCGAAATCTTAAATTCTTGATTAATGAATTAAAGGATTATTAAATTATAAAAAAGGGTATATATTTTTTTCTTAAACGTTCATTTTTATTAGCGATAAATAAACTTACATATCTTTACAGTAACAATGTCCCTTTCGTAACTCTCGGAAAATATGAGAATATCTATTCGCAATGATTCATTATAGATCAAGACTTCCTTTTCACTTGTCGCATTTGGTTGTTAATTCCGCCTTTTATCATCTTCGATTCAACGATGAACGAATGAATAAATGAACGAACGAACAAACGAATGAACGAACGCCTTAAAAAACTGAGTACGACACAAACGGTACGTACGTATTATTTTTATACGATCATCGTCTACATTGCGTACACGTTGTTGTACATGCGATCTCTACGTACAAGTCTTAAGTCTTACTTATAGTCCTAACAATTAGCGAGCGTTTACAACAGCCGAACATGAGAGAAGTGAACAACATAAGACCACTGCTGCTATAAGTATCATAATCGATTGGTGCCTATCGGCTTATGAATTATATATATATAATATTATCGGAGACGTCCTTTTTCAAATCTTGATATTAGTTTTTTTCGGACTATCTTCTTAAGTTTTCTTATGCCATCCGGCTGATTCTCTATTAACTGACATTTACATGGTCCAAATTACATGCGCTTCCCTTCCAACGTAACATCATTCATCTTCTGTCCATTATACCTGTCGATTTTAATCGTTTCCATTCCTAAATAATTCCCATGGGAATCTTTTCTTATACAACATGCATTTTATTGCGCGAATTTTATCGCTTTGTCTATCTAATAGACAGGTCTCTATGATTTAGAATTGGGAATCATTTATTCAACATTAATTGATTCCCGAATTGTTGATACAATCGTGTTCGAGTCTTTGTTATCGTTAGACGAAACATTAGAATAATTTGATACATCTTCGATCAAAATTCAATTTAATTTTTCGCGAAAATTTAGCATTTTACTCTACTTGATTGATATTTTTCATCAATTCCATCGAAGTGTAACATGCAACGATCTATCAAGTTATTACATTTTTCAAGAAACCGCCGATATATCCAGACTCTTATTTGCAACTCGTTCATCATTTGCCGTCTTTTTTTTGTATCGAAACTTAACTTATCGATCACAGCGGAGATGGGGCTGCATCACGGATAAACAAACTTACATTGAAAAAGAAGCGCAGTTTTTATTGTGTCATCGTGTTGTCGGTGATGCCAGTTAAGAAGAAAAAGCCTTCGTTTTTGCACAGTACTAAAACATTGGAGATCGCCACATTGAGATATTTATATCCGATAGATACAAAAAACTTGTCTCTTCTAACAAACTCTTAAATTAATTTTATTTACAAGCTTCTCATATTTATCGCATTATCCAAATCACGTAGAAAGTAAGACATTGTAACGTTTCTTAATTGTCACCATATTTCAGTACACGTCTTAACAAATTTTTTTTATTATTTGGAAATATATTTAGACGATCTCCAATGTCTTAATACGTTTTATTCGCGAGAAGCGTATACGTTAAAGTCTTACGCATCACGTGCGTGCATGAGTGCCTCTCCAAGTAGCAAAATGACGTCATTTTGACGTTTAATGACATCATTCACTTGCTACCTGGGTCTCTTTTTTCGAAGTTCATGCAGGTGAGAATTCGTCAAAACCTCTCGACGTGGTCCTTTCGCATCTCTATCTCGACAACAAAATTTGATCGAGCTAGTCGAAAGTTAGGACTAACCGATTCAACAAATACGATATCGCATCCAATTCATCTGAAATGACGTTCCGTGAACCGACAGAATTTTCTCGACAGATCATCCGAGGGACGCATTTTTTTGACCGCAAAAAAATGACGCCCATCAAGTCAAGTCGTATCGTCGAAAAAGTTGAAATATACCGTATTCAAAAAACGCGCATTAGAAAAAGATATCAAAAAGGATCAAAGGAGCTGATCAACTCACAAAACTTCTCTCGATCTTCAAGATCTTAATGATCCCAATTAATTATTAATTATTAGAGCGATGCCACACACACAAAAGGCGGCGACATATCAAATAAAAAATGATGTATATGTATATAAAAAAGATATAATAGTGTCGTGGAACGATCTTTTTTTTTTCGCGAGATCGGTCGAGGTTTTGGCCTTCTCACGAAACTATTTCTAGGTCTCCCTGCTGCATGACTTCTTCTCTATATAAGATACATAACACATAATATCTGTCTCAATATTAAGCAGCTATCGCTTATCGCGTCTCTCAAGCGTATCGCGTCCCTTAATACGCGACGACCTATTTATCGTCCCGTGTCGATGTGAACATGATATAACGTCGATTATCCCGTCCCTTATCGGTTCATCGATCGATTATCATTGCATCGTATCTCCGTGTAAAGCAGCTAATCAGCTGCCGACACGCTTAACTATCCGTAAGCAAGCAAGTTTTTTTCATCGTAAACACAAAAGAGGACATATGCTTACATAGTCCTTACATTATCCGTCAATTAAGTAACATTCTGCCGACCGCATTTCTTTTTTCCTCTATTTCTTCGAAAAAACGTCCATTCAATTGCGGAAAGCAACTTCTTCGTATCCGAGATCATATCGTTCTTGACAAAATCATTTCTCTCGAGTAAATAAGACGGTTGTTCGCACTATAATGATTTTTCACTTTTCAACGATTCATTTTCGCGCGACGAGCAAGGATTACACACGCGAATAATATTTCAGTGGACAATAGTCTTCAAATTTTCTTTGCGAAATTGCTGCGTTTAAATGCTTCTCCTTCCCCATCACGCCTCAGTTGCCATGCTCGACGCATCTTTGATCGTTGGCTTTGGCGGCAGCCACCGCGGCTGCGAAGCGCAATCGTCTTCTTCGAACGAGGGCGAACGTCGACGTCGGACACCTGCGACGGGGACGCGAGGATGAGACCGTGCGACGATCGGGATCCCATCTCGCGACAGGCCCGCCTCAAAGCACGGGCTCCTCGTCGGTCTCGTCGTTCTCGTCGGTCGTCTGCTGAGACGAGGAGGTAGTCGCCACGGAATTATTTTTGCTTCTCCGATGTCGCTTCTGTTGCTGATTGCTGCTATTGCTGCCGTTGCTGTTACCGCCGCCGCTTGTGCTGCTACAGGTGCTACTTATGCTGCTGCTAGTGCTGCTATTTGGACTGTTGACGATGTCGTTGCCGCCGTTTCCGCCGCAGGTCAAATCAAAAGCAGTGATTTGGCCGTGAGCGGTTATCAAAGGTCGTAAAGCCGTGCGCACGGACCAATGTAGTCGGGGATACGCGCGTTCCTGCTGAAGCATCAACTCCTTTCTTCTATTTTGTTTCTATAATGAGAAGCAGAAAATTAATAAAAATCTATCTAGTTGATTTATAATCCGCGACAAAAAACTTTTAAGAGATACATGAACTTTACCTCAGACAATGTTTTTAAATCCCGCGAGATCGGAAGCTTTTTGCTTTCAGCAAACTGTCTTAACGCCTTCTCCCGCACGTAGATAAACGGTCGGATGACCCTAAGATCCTCTCGACGTATGTAGTAATGAGCCTTCATGGTTCTCAACACACCACCGTGTAATACCGAGATGAGAAAACTCTCCGTGAGATCGTCCAAGTGTTGACCGAGCGCCAACACGTTATATCCGTTGCGTTTCGCCAAAGAATACAATTGCGTCCTGACCGATCTGTTGCAGAAACTGCAAGTGCCGCTGGCGATGCTGGCGTCCAACGGGTTGTCAACGTTAGCATTAGTCGAATCTGTCACCTGTTCCTCATAGAAATAAGGGACGTCCAGGGCTTTTAGATAACTCATCATTTCCAAGGGATCAGAACCACCCGTGTCAATAGTAGCCGCACCAATCTCAAAGTCAATCCCCTTCGATTTGGCGTAAAATCTGTACTGATGCAGAGTATGCAGAAGAGACAGTGAGTCTTTGCCATTCGCTGATAGACAAACTAGAACTCTGTCGGTGTCCCGAATCATATCGAATTCCTGCATTGCCTCCACCGAAGGTTTCCAAACATTTTTCGGTGGACAGTGCCACTGAGTTCGCGGAAATTCGAGTCTTGAGTCGTCCTCGAAATTTTTCTCCTGACCATCGCCTTCTTCCTCTCTCAGATCACCCGTGCATTCCTCATCTTCCGAGAGATTGTCATTTTGACGCGCTTGTTGCTTGCTGCCACTCTTAGTCGATAAACTCATCATCGACGTCGTCCTAGGCTTTCGTCCGTGATTGTTGGCGGAGTTGGATTCAGCGCTGCTGCTTCGTTTTAGATCTAGCGAGTCTATCGATTTGTCGCTCTCGTGAAAGGACAGGTTTATACCACTGTCTTGAGAACTGACCGAGTTCACAGCCGAATAGATCTTCGGTAGGATCTTCCGGGTATCGCCGATGTCCAGACCGCCACGTCCTTCTTGTGTATCATCATCCACATAATCATCCACATCCACTTCCTCGTCCTCCGTCTTCGAGCGATTGCGCACTATCTGCTCGTTTTCGGATGGCTTCATCACATAGATGACTGTCTCGTCCGAAGAACATTCACTAGACATCTTGCTTTCCTGCTGCGATAATTCGCCGACCTTGCTGGTGATCTCGATCTGACCGTTTTTTCTCGAGCTCGAAAGACGCGGGGATGCCGAAGATGTAAGTACAATTCTTCCTCGATCGGGTGAACCGCATCCGTTTGAGGAAACGTCGGAAGTGGAAGCATCAGGCGAATACCTGTGAAGTCCATCAACGGCGTTCACCATGCACCTGTTTAAAAGTTTACAATATATAGTACACATTATATTATGACATTTAAAAAATTTTTATTAATAATATTTTTATTAATAATAATAAAATACCTTATCTCGGATTTCACTTCGCTAGCCATTTCTTTCGAAAATTCCATCAAGTATTCGGCGATGTCACTGGCTGTGAACGAGTCATGCCTCAATTGCTGCTTATCCTCCACAAATGTTTGATTAATCATGCTGTGAGCTCGTGAATGATGTTGCGGTGTGTTTTCGGATGTATTCGTCTCCGACAGAGCGTCATCGACTTTAGAGATAACTTCCCGAATCTCCGATTTTATTTCCGTCGCTAGTTCCTTGGTCATTTCCTTTACATATGCACTCAGATCATCCTCGGATCTCTGGCTCGTACTCGTGGAGATCGGTGATGATCTACCACCGCCAACCAATCTCTCGGTATAATCACTGGTCGACGAATATGAAGATGGTGGTGACGCCGGATTATGATTATAGCTCAAGGAGGAAATCGAATGACTCGGGCTGGCGGCGGAATCCAATTCCAGTGAGTTCAATTCCGTTTGACTGCTGCAGCTGCAGTGAAGACGTCTCTGCCTCGACGAACCGTTTGTTGTACTCAGTCCCAAACTAGTCAGAGTCTGCGGGCTCAAGGGAAGCGGCGGAATCGGCGAAGACGCCGATGTGGTACCGACGCGATTTCCTGGAACGTTGCATCCATCGGTGGTACTTCCCAAAGAATTGCATCTAGCGCGTCCGGCGTTGTTCGCATCTATCAATTCCCTCTGCTCCTTCGTAGGTCGAACAGCTGTGCGAGATATCGATCCCAAAGTGGTCACGGCCTCGCCCACCGCAAATCTGACTGGCATCGGTGAATTCGGACACGTGGCGGGTGATCGTTGTCCACCGAAGAAAGTGCCGTGTTCATTTGGATTCGGACTCTCCTCTTCGCTGTTGCTCGATGACGACGGCTGACTCAGCTCGATCGTGGTCGCGATCATGGCTCGCCTAACTGTGCTCAGCGCAGGTAGACTACGATGTCTCGGCGAAGTTGATGAGAGGAGCATATTACCCGTACGCGGAATGTCACTGTTGAGCCGTCTAATTCCGTTGGTCAGCGTCAGACAGTTCACCAGACTATCGTGGCACGTGATGGCATTCGTGCGGCTGTACCTGTTCCAGGCTAACAATGGATTGAACGGTACGTCCTGTTTGACGTTCTGCGAATTTCCCAAAAGGAGATCCTGCGCTTCGCTCGGCAGCATAAACCAACGTAACGCTTCCATACGCTGGCAGACGAAATTGAAACTCTTGTCGATCTGGAGCGGATATCGCTGCGCCATTTTACGCGCGCGGTTGAAGATGTTGCGGGCGGTTTGAAGGCAATCGCCGTAAGTCTGCGGGAAGACGCCGGAACCGGAAACTCGCCTCTCCGTTGCGCTCATTTTGCCATCCGTGTATCTGATCGAGCCCAACCACTTGCGTTCCTTGAAGACGCTGTTGGTGTGATGCCGCCATTCGCCGGTATCGGGATTCAGCACGTATTGCGGCAGCAATTTCCAACCCTCGGTGGCCACCATCTTGAGAGCTTCCAGGACAAAGGCGACTTCCGCCTCGGACATAAAATAGGGAAAGGATAGCCTGGCGAAGCCCGGCCTGAGACCCTCCGCAGTAGTCTCCTCGGTGCCGTTGCGTTGTCTAAAATAAAACAGTACATATTAGAGTATATCTCTGCACAATGTGCACGACACTTTTATCAAAAATAGAATCTTGCGCCAAGTTGGACGCGGCGATTTGCCGCGCGGTTGACGTAACATCTATTTCTACGCCACGTGTCCATTACGCGAAATTACACCGCATCGAGTTTAGTAGACAACCACTTCCTGCATTGTCAGTCTATACGATGTAATCTTTTGCACGCGTGACAGTATCATATTCGATGCGAAGCGATAAAAGTAACAATCATTGAAATCAATATATAATGCGAATTAATTCAGATTTCTGATAAAATAAATTTTTCTATGGAATTTCGTGAATATCTCTTTCCGTGGATTTCTTTTTCAAATCAAATTTCATAGTTATTAAAACTATCATGTTTTCTATAACAGTATGACATTTTTCAATATTATTCTAATTTCAAATATTATTCTAATATTTTACTAAATTCGCAATAACTTAAACATCTCAACTATAAACTTATGTAACTGATAAAAATTGTTATACATATTCGGCTTGTATTGAAATAAACTCAATCTATTTATTGAATAAAATTATTTTTATCAGTTTTGGTATCGATTATACATTTTTATGAGTTTATAACAAAGAAAACTGACGTTACCGGAAATAAATAGAATTAAATGATTATTTAATGCAGTTCAAACAGCGTCTTCAAAAAATGGAAACATACTCTTCCAAGAGGATGCTTTCGTATTCCTTGGCAAGTTCCCGGTCGATCCCCATCAGATCGTGAGCATAACGACCCGCGCATGCGCATCCTCCTCGTGCTTGAATACCGAAGACGTCGTTCAGGACGGCGCAGACAAAGTTATGATGTAGAAACGTGCCGCGAGGATGGCGTACCATGAAAGAGAAGATGGGCAGTCGCTTCACGTTCTGCGACGAGCTGCCGAGTAGAATCAATTCCGGGATTGTACGCACGTGGGATAAAACTTGCCTGGAAAGAGAAAGCGAAAATCATTCAATATTGCGCAAAACTATTCACATACCGTGTAACTATGCAAAGATAATTGACGAATTCACAAAATTGTAGATTACTTTGATTACGTATACAAGGTGTTTCATACGTGCACGATACAGACTCTCGTAGTTTTTGTAAAATAAACATTTTTTTTGCAATATCTTTTTGAAAATGCATCGTTTTTAGAATTGATTGTACATATTATTATAATATAAAAAATATCATCTACTTTTTAATTAAATATGTAACATTGAGTAATTTAATAAAATAGAAAAAGGATCTATGCTAGACATTTTATTAAAAAAACAGTACCTTGATATTCACCGCAATAGTATTCCTGACAAAAGCCATGTCGAAATATTCGCGTGAGTACTTCATGGTAATTGAATGTATAATGAGAAGAGATTATATAAATAACATTCGATTTGTTTACATTAGAACATTTCGCTATCGTAAAAAGAAATTTGTTTTATGTATCAATTCATTTTATCAACTAAAATAAATTTTTTTCGAGTGTTTCATTATAAAAACATAAACATTAAATTTAATCATAATAAAATTATCAAAATTTTTTTTAAACAAAATCGAGAAACAGCAAATGTATTAGATTATTCAAAAATGAGATTTCTCGAAAACGATGTATCTTCTCTTGTATCGATTATTATTCTATATGTATAAAACAATCTGTATATATGCGAAACTACAAGCGTATTTGTACTCATAATATCTTCAGCTTGCGGTCAGACTTGTGCGAAGGCAGCTCACCGAAGAAAAAAAATTACGAGTCGTGAGTAAAAAAAAGAGCACCAAGTGCCCTCCGTCGTCGCTTTCTATGAGATCGCGTTCTTGCTCGCGCAAAACAGGAAGACATTCGCGGCGAGAAAATTATTCGAAACGACCGGCATTGATTTGTTCCCTGGACGGCGCGAAAAAATGAGCGATATACATCTTGCGTAATCCGCGGCAATTTCGATCATGCAACAGCCGCGGCGCGCTCTTAAACGCGGCCTCCAACAAGCGGAGCTCGCGATCGCTCACCTAGAAATCTTGTCCTGTCGAGCGACAATCGCTCTCGGCGTGACGTTCTCCTTCAGCTGCACCGCCAGTCCGCATCTGATGCTCTCGACGACACCGGCGGTGCCGCTCTCCTCTCGCAGCTCGGGATCGCGATGATAACGATGGGAGTCTCTCATATCCTCTGCCTCGACATCCTCTCGCAGGAGCCACCGTTTGGTCACCAGTATACCAGGCGATTGCACGCCCCCGATGAACTTGTGACCCGCGAAGATGATGGCGTCCTTGTGCACCGCGGTCTCCCCGACTCCGGGTAAATTCGGATTCATGTCGATCTGAATACACGGCGCTGAAAACATGGTAGAATCAAGTCGATCATTCGTTCTCGTCCTCGAGCTTCCATGTATGGTATATCTCGATATCAAATGTAGCTCGCTATCTCGCATTTGTTACGTGATACGCGAGAGTAGAAATCTCTTACATAAAAAGCATATTATGTCATCAATAATAATATTTGAATTATCTTAATTGTGGCGAGGTATTTACATTTACAAGTGTTCTGTATGACGAAACGCGTAATTTATACACATTACGATGAATCAACGCCTCGAGCGAAGACTTTAGGATTTTTTGTATCGAAATTAACATGACATAAAATTGATCAAAGTATATCTGGTTTCTGCAACCGGTTGATTAATTAGCTTTCTTGTTCTCTCTCTCTCTCTCTCTCTCTCTCTCTCTCTCTCTCTCTCTCTCTCTCTGTCTGTCTGTCATCATAAGCTCATATCGAAGATCATATTGCGGCAGCTAATCAAATCGGATCGACTCGCAACCAGTTCTCCTTTAGCTCCTTGCTCATTACCTGCAGTGGTGTAATCCCACACACTAAGCGCGCCGTATTGGTGCAGCAGGAGGGTCGTCGCGACGTCATCTGCCAAAACCCCCGTTATGCAACTGGCAGCGCTGAAGCATCCAATCATTTGCGCAACGCCCTCGCTCCGCATTCTAGTCAGTCCTCGTTCGAGATCATTCAGATCTAGGAAGCCCTCCCGGGTCTCGGAAACTCGTACTATCTGTAAGGCGGTTTAATTGCTTTCATCAGCTACTCGGCCGCGCGACGATGATGACGCGTCAAGTATAAATACGTCCGTAATTAGACGGCTAAAAAACGCTCAATCCCGACTATTTTAAGTTAAAGGCTGTTTGAAAATTATATCGCGCCTTGAAAATATTTATAGGGATGCCTCCCAAGGCGATACCCGCAAAATATGTATCGGAGGGAGAGATTCCTCTCGCGACGGAGTCGAAGTGCGTCTCATTTGCGCAATTTATACATATATTTGTGTACATTTGCATTATTAGTCTATTAAATTTTTGAATCTTTATAGGGTGTCGGGTAATAAAAGAAGGATGAAGCAACGTGTATAAGGTCGCTTTGAGAAAAAAAGGCGGAATGGCCGCTCGCGTGAGCATAAATGGCGCGTTGCCAAAAGTCAAGCTGGCTGTGGCCAGCTCGGTTTCGTTGTTGCGTACTATTCGATCGCACACGCACATCTCCCCTACGGCCCCGAGCATCACGCCCCGTTTTAACGATGCACTTCGCTCCGTCGCGCGTTTTATTACCCGCTCCCCTTCTTTTATCTCGCGCACGAATCTCGCGCTGCGGCCGCTCGGACTTTTCCACGTGAATTTATCATCTGCACGGCTGTCCTACCTTGACATCGAGCTCACGCCAAGGCCTCAGGTTGGCGTGATGCTCGAACGGGCCCACGAAGACCACGGTGGATTTCGAGAGATCGAGATGTCGTAAAAGTGTTCGAAGGGCGGCGGCGGTGCCTTGACCCGTGAACAGGACTGCATCCTGCTCGCCGGCTCCGACCGCGTGTCTGACAATGTCTCGGGCTTCGTGCCTGCAAAACATGAATGAATACATGTAAATATGAATGAAGGTGTTCAAGTGTTTAATCGGCGCACAATTTTTTTTTCTTTTTTTTCGACAATTGACAGACAGAGGACATCCAAACATCCTCTGGATATTATCATTAACAATCACATCATACCATCTAAAATATTCCTTATAGCACAACATATCCAAAAGACATTTAGAGGATATCAAGAAGACTGAACATTCTCTGGATGTCTTTAAATATCCAGAAGATGTTCCAGAAGATCTTCTAAATGTTTCGGATATGTTGTGCTGTTAGAGAATACTTTAGACGGTATGACATAATTGTTGATAATAGATATAATAATATCCAGAGAACATCGAAAGGGTGTTGGAATCTTCTCTGAACGTCTTTCGGATATGTTGCTGTTAAGGAATACTTTAGACTTAGACGGTATGACGTGATTGTTGATAATAGACGATAATAAAGCTATAAAGTAACCAGCGTGTGTCTAATGTCGTGGTATTTATGAACGGTATAAAGACACGTGAGTCTGTGTTCGCGCAATTGGTGCAGAGTCAATATGGATCTAGTGTGACGTCTGACGTGAGAGACGAGGGACATAGGTTGAGCAGCAACATACACCTTACAGTTTACATAGTTACTATCGATTTCTCGTGACACGCGTTACATACCCATACCGTAAACGAATTTATCCGCTTGACAGCTCTAATTACTCCGAAAGGGCAACTTGTCATTTAACAGAGAGATTAGATTAACTTTTTCAACGTTACGTTAAATTAAACATTTCCCGTCATTAAAATACAATAAAGACAAAAGATAATTAAGAAGTAATAAATATGTACGCGAATTTTGTAAATTGTTAATAGCAATTTTTATTAGATATATAGATATATTTAATAAATTGAAAAAAATTACAACGCACCCGTTCTTATATCCTTTCTCTAAAATAGCGCGTTATTTGAGATAAACAACACGTAATCATGAGACAGAGGGAAGAAAAGAGAAATTACGAGTAGCAATTTATTGCACATTGTGTACACGTGTCTGAATGTGTCGTTCATCACGTGATGAGGCTGTCATATATGTATGTCGTCATCATTATCACGGTTTTTCTCATGTGGCCACATGCCACAACAGGGTATAAGTATCATCTCGGGGAAGGGTGGATATTGATCGGGGACATCAGTGCTAATAAATGGAAGAACCGAGATGAGAGATCGTCTCACAGAGGCTATCGATCCGGCGAGGCCGAGAGAGATTTACAGGCGGCTTGATCTACATTTCTCTGACTGTGAGTCGCCACGGTTGAAAGTTGTCGTCGGCGATAAACACCGAACGATAACGAACAAGTGGCCACTTCATCGTCGCGATAAATATTTTTTAATGAGCAAACACACGTGCGAACAAACGTTACGTCGCGATACACCGATTGGACCTGTGTGTTTGTCGGGAAAGTTTCCGGATACGAGACACGTGTATCTTTTAAAATTAATATCGGTCATCAGGGACAAGACGGTAAAATGCGTAAAATCGCCGTCACAAGAATATAAACTCGGCGAAATCGCGTCTTGACACGATCGAACGGACGAAAATAACAGGAGCAGATATTACAGGAAGCGATAAACCAAATTTAATTGTTTAACCGATTTAACAGCGCACAACGTGTCTGAGATTATCACTATTATTAATGTGGGAACGTGTCTGAAATTTATCTGATGATGATGATGATGATTATAGACGATATAGTCTATACCACTTACATAATGTTGCAATGAAATATTAATCCATGAACGCGGAAGAAAGGATATTCTGAATAAACGAATGACATTAATATTGACAATTGACTGTAAAAAAACATAAAAAATAAGACAATAAAATACTTACAATAAGTAGTAAAACGATAAGATACAAATTAAAAATTAAATATAAAGCAAAGTGAATTTAGCTTAAAAATGTAATAAAAAATTAAAAAGTTGATTATAAATAAAATTCTGTTTTAATAAATTGCAACAAGTCAGCAAATATTTTGCCAATATTGTGCCACAAACACACAAATTTTTTTTATATATAATAATTAAAATAATATAAGAATAATTTCTTAATTAATCATATTATAATTTATTATATATATTATTCAGCAAAAACTGGGCGCACTTCTGCATAAATCGTAAAGCACATTCATTCTTTCGAAGGACTGCGAGGTCCATTATTGCTTACCTAAAAGAGATGATTGTAGACTGCAGATGGACGTGGATGCCCGAGTGTCGCCCAAACATGGCAGTACCTCCTTCGCGATGTAATCTTCAAGGAACTGTAGTGACCTTCCTGAGGCGGTATAGTCGCAATAAACCACTGAAACACAAAATGACGCCGGTAAAGATGGACGTAAATAATAGACCTCTGCTTTCGCAAAACGTTCTTGTCAAGATCGCGAAAGTCTTATTTTTTTTACTTTCGATGAAATAATAATATGTTTTAAATAATATGTTATAATACTTCAAACTCGGAATATTTTTGATAGTTATCAGCTGATTTCTGTCAAAAAAGGTTAATCGAAGAGATAAGGTATTGTAACATATTATTTACAACATATTATTATTTTAGTTTGTATAATATATATTATCTTAAAATTTCGCAAAAGTTTCTTTTTGTTCTTTACTTTCGATAAAATAATATGTTATAATACTTTAAACTACATTAATACTTTTGACAGTTATCAGCTGATTTCTGTCAAAAAATATTAATCAAAGATAAGGTATTAAAACATGTTATTTACAACGTGTTACTATTTTAATTTTTTATAACACATTTCTGTTTTGAAATTTAATTAACAAATTTTTCGTTTTATTAATATAGTTTTTAACAGAAATCAGCTGATTAAAGCGTTAATTTGCTAAGTAAATTTTAAAATAATATGTTATCAAATTTAAAATAATAATATGTTTTGAATCATATGTTACAGTATTTTTAATTAAATTAATATTTTTAACAGTTATCAGCTGATTTCTGTCAAAAATCTTGACGTTAGAAAAATATATCGCTGCGTATATCGCAAAGACGCAATTCGCGTGATGCAGCGAACAAACAACGTAGAAAATACAGAGAGAATCTATTTATGAGTATACGTTGTCGACGAAGTGTCGAAGTGTTAAAATAACTGGTTTAAACTGCAAGAAGCCCGCTTCCCGACGTTATTTCCAGTCTTTGCCGAACCGAGCCGAGTTTGTCGGATAACAGTGCAAACCGCGCGGGCAAACGTCGATTGAAGTCTCGGTTACCACTTGGAAATCCGTTCAGAAGGTCGTCGTCCAACGGAGAGAAATTGTCCCGAGTGTATATCGAGTGGGCCTTCAATGAGATTCGCGCCCAAGGCACGCGATCGAATCGCGCGATCGCGGATCGGCAAAATATGCAAATTTATTCGCGGAAAGAGAGAGAACCCGTTACATCTCCATAATTACAATCGCGACACGATCTCGCGGTGGAATCTCTCGCCGATCTCTTTACGAACTATATAGAACGTGTCGCGAGACCTAATCCAAAGCGGTGGACTTTTGTGGTCTCGATATCCGCGGTGCATCAGCCGACCGAAAAGACCCGGAGAAAGCCGGCTCTTTCACTCGGACAAGCCCCGTAGAGAGAGAGATACAATGAATTTATCTCGGCATTTCGTCACGCGTCCCAATATATATTCATCATCGTCGAACGAATCGCGATCTCTCGAAATTCCTAGCGCGCGGAGAGATAGACAATAACATCCATTCATGGCTTAGAGCGGCGAGCGGATAATCTTTCTTCCTTTTTTTTTGCGCTAGCAAGCAAATCAAATTCCCAGGGGAAAGCCAAGGTATAGGCGAGGGATAATGACTCGCAGGTGTTTCTTACGAAAGCGCTTGATCGACAACGGTCGCGGCACAGCGAAATTATATACGCGAGCAGGACTTTCGAGAGTGTTTAGGCACGGTGGAGTGCCACGTTCCTCTAATAATCTAATATACGTCTTCTATTCTTGCGAACGAACGCGGAGACGCGATACGATCCGCTGATCGGCAACGAATATCATCAAGGCGACACCATCGAGTTCTATCTGTCTCCAGGCACCTGGTGTGTCCGCTCTCGCCGCCGCACTTAATTACATAGGAAAACATCGTTAAAATAGCGCGGAAGATAGAGAAATTACTACCTAGTACCATTTCCTCCTTTTATCAACCAGCTTTTTCCTTTTTCCTCTCCGTTTAATTTAATCGCACGAAAATTAGTAATCCACCTCTCAAGAGATAGTAATTATTATTCGATTTGTTGTCCATCTTGATATATATTTATCGGAGTAAAATATTTTTAAACTCGCGGATAGAAGAGAAGCGACTCTGTCTCGGACAGGATTTATTACAATTTAATTTCAGTTGTATCATCGATTATGCAACCTTCTTCGATTGCGCAGATTATATACAGAGAAATATCGAACGTCGCAAGCATGGAGAGAAAACTGGACGCTTAATTTATTTAATCATTCGTATGCCGGATGTGGAAATAAGCGTGCGGGTGATTGCAGCTCGCAATTCGCTCGTTCGCGCGATAAAACCATGATTTTTATTAAATTATGCCCAACCAGTCGGCTCTATTTTCCGTCATAGATGTAACGTCAAGATATATATATATATATATATACATACATACATATATGTATGTATATATGCCTGGAATGTTCTCGTGCCGTGTTCGCTTAGGGCGAAGTGCGCGATCTTGTCGATAAGTCCGGAGTGAGTGAACGGAATGGATATGAAATCGCGAATGTATCGAGCCAGCTTTATATACTTTCAGTTCCGCCGACGATAACCGATTCCGCGGAAATAATTTGAATACGTAACGAGCGCGATCCGTGGAACACTTATTATAATGTCAGCTGGGGCATATAGAGTCCGCAACGCGTTATATGCACAAATGTTTCTAACGCGACGTAAAAATATATACATTCTAAGAATATATAGAGCCATATTTTTTTTTTTAATATCTACTCACAATATCTCGTTTGAATTTTCAGTTCTTTCAACACTCAAAAGTGTCGCGACTTCGAAAAGTATCACGCGTTTATCTCGAGACAAATCACTTTCTCTCCTTTCGTCGAGGTGAGACATTTGCATTCGCCGAAATATAATCGCGAGTTATCTGAATTTTAACCAGCCCGACGAGAAGTGAATTCTATTCAAAGAGGCGGCTCACATCGCAGAAAAACCGCGAGTTTCCGCGACGATAAGTGCAGTTCGATCTAAATTTCAAGGCCGACATTCGCGGACGTCATTCGCTCATGCATTTCATACTGACATAAGAGAATCCTTCTTCATCTATTAACCAGCAACGCGAATCACGTGAATCGGTGAAAAGAGAGACGCGAGTGACGACTAGGTGCTGTTACGTCATCGCACCGTCTCTCGTATATATCGATATCGCTAATGTCATTTGTACATACACCGTGTGGATTTACATAAACTACACGCGACACATTAAATGGCGCTTAAATTTGGCACCTCCGCGGGAATTTACGAGAGCCAGATTTAATCAAAGCAAAATGTCGCACGCGGCGGCGGTCGCTTTGACAGGACCGCAGATTCGCTTTTATCGTCGCACACCATGTGCGTGCGTGCGTGTATTTCAGCGTCGATATGATATGTTAGTCGGTCGGACGATAACAACAAATGACATGTAAATGTCGTTCCATCGTCTATTCCAAACGAACGACACGGAAGCGCGGCGGCACGCTTTGATGTCTCGATAGATAGCAGCAGACGGCGAACGGGAAGTCGGCGGTCGATTATAATTACCGGGAGCATTTAGCGGAAATGAGTTTCTATATCCGCATGCGCGATACGTGCGGCGTTTCCGCGTATCGGACGGGCGTTTCCGTCATCGCGAAATGAATCGGGCGCTCGTGACAACTTATACGTGTACAGTTCCTCTTTCGCGAGAGACTCATTCTTGTCGCGTTCGCCGGAACCTCTTTCCTCGCTCGAGACTAAACAGGGTCGTAAGTCGTAAGAGTCCAAAGACAACAGTGAGCGCCGCGTCGTCTGCGCTTAGACCGTTAGAACGAGCTCTTTTGACCTCGGAATATTCATTAGCATACGAGGCCAGTCGTAGGTATCCACATCCGGCGTGCCGTGTAACGAGGTATCTCTTTATACCGAGAAAATCCTCAATTAGACGCGGAAAATCATTCACGCTAGGCTCCCTCTTCTCGCGCGCAATGTCTTCTCCGAATTCAAGAAGCTATCCAAAGACAATCGATCTTATTTTATTCAAATTCGAAGAACTTCTTCGAGCTACGTGAACATTTTACCGACACCTTTTCAATTTTAAATAACAAAAATTAATGTAGGAAAGATAACCACACCCTTTTTTATTCCGTCTCGAGTGATTTATTATTGATTTTTAAAGCTTTAAACTAGAACTGGTTACGTTGCAAAATCGTCCTAGAATCCTTGGCTATATACCCAGCAGCGTACAATTCAATAGTCACAATCCCTTTGTGACTATTGAAACTATTGCATGTTGATTGTGGGACATTGTAGAAATATCAAAGACTCTATTGAGACAGTACACTCATGAGCATAAATGGAATATGCATAACGTGTCCTATTTTGCGTTTACAAGTATTTACGTACTTTTCTTATCGGGTTGACTTTGAAGGGAGATACGTATGGAAACAAATTCGCGATTAGAGACTATTTTATATTTGAACTTGAACATTGAGATTTATACGCGTGTAAAGGAGAGAAGTAGACGAGGGAAGGGATGGGGTTTACAACCCTCCTGTGGATTCAGAAAACCTCGACAAGTGTGAAAAACATAAAAGCTATGACTGGCGCATCGAGGTTGACTGTCGCAGGCGCTGATCGAAGAGTCGCGACCTAGTTCCAAGTTCGATTACCCCCCCACCTTTTTAGCTCGATGTTCGATCCACCTCGAGACTTGTAGAATATAAACTCTCGGCTTGAAACCAATCTAAAACTTTAACTATCGAAAAAAAAATCCACAGAAACTCGTCAGTACATTATGCGAAAGTAGGATGACTCATATTTGTGTAAATGAGAGGAAAAAAGTAGAACTAGATGCACCATTTTTATGAAACAAGTTTAGTATATATTTATATGCGTCTTAATTAAATATGGTTTTTTTTAAATTAGTTCATTATTATATTTTTTTTTTTTAGGGACAATTATTTTATTATTAATTATTTACCTCTCAAATAATTAATAAATATTACAAACGTTCTTTTATAATAGATATTCATATTGACTAAACTGTAACGAAATGGAACAATATAGTATTATTAACAATGATATACGTATGTTGAA